TCACCATTTATTACCTCTGTCTTTCTGCACAGGCTGTAGATGAGGAGGGTTTATTTGCATACTATCTCTGGCCTCTGTTGCTTTTGGAAAGGGCTGATTGTTGTCGGGGTATGCACACATGCCGGGTTAAGGGGAAAGCACTGCTCCTATGATGGTTTGCTGACTCACCTGCTTCCCTGTTTCTTAGGCTGGGGAGTCTGCTAGCAGGATTATATGGCTGTGGTGGTCACGGGGAAATAGTGGGTAATAGCGTGCCACTTTGAAAACTTCAGCTTGTACTGTATGGTCCAAGCAGGAGGTGGCAAGACCTCTAAGGAAACTGCCTCTCAAAGGCTTGGGGTAGACAGGGCTACTGCCCTTGTTTACCTCCTTTGTATTTACCTCGTTTGTTTGTAACTGTCACTGGTTTTTAGCACTGAGCCACACAAAGCAAATAGGTTGCAGGTAAAGTCTGAGCTGGTTTCTGTTTCTGCTGGTTGTTGGACACCAGTCCATCCTCCAACAGGACTTTGCTCTCATGTTTGTGGGCTTCCCACCTGTGTGGAGTCTGAGGACCTCACTCCTCCCTTGTGAGAGAGTGCTGGAGCAGAGCAGGGTTTTTTAAGCAACTAAGGCATTTGTATTGAAAACAGGCAATTAGGAATTGAGCTATTCTGCTGTAAAGCTGGGAACTGAGTTCTGGTGGTGCAAGCAAACCCCTTGAGATTAGCCTGGTTTTTCCCATCCAAGAGAATGTCAAAGAAAAGCAGAAACTAAAAAAAAGTAAAAATTAGGCAGATTGAAGCAAACAGATTCCCAGTTCCCTTGAGGTCTAATAAACGCGAAACTGTGGATAGAGCCTCCAGCCTGGGAAATCCTTTAGCCCCCAAGTGATGGAGAGTGGGAGGATCTATGCGGAGGAGTGTTAGTTTCAGCTTGCTCGGTTATCCTCTCCCTCTCCAAGCTGTCGGAGACAAGTCATTGCAACAGACAGACCTTCGGTGTGACCCAGCACAGCTTATTCTTTGTCCTGCCCTCCCTTGTTACTCCAACTGCCTTAGTTCTGTGTTAGCTTTTCTGTGGGTTTGGGATGTATGACAGTGGCGTGCCTGACCCCTCCTCAGCGCACGGCTAGGCAGTGCCCTCAGCCCAGGGAATTGCAATACCATGTTTGCTTCTTAATTCAGAAGGCACAGCAGTGATGCTGAATTAAGATTTGTCCAGCTGAGAACAGAGTTTGGTTTTCAATCAATAGCAGCCTTTTTATTTTTCTTAATTGGTGTCTGTTAAACAGGGAACACTGTGGCTCACGATGGCAGGACGTGTCAGGAAGGTGGAGCTGGAGCAGGGGAGAGCAACACAAGTACAGCCAAAGGGAAAGATGCGGTGCCGTGGCAGGAACAGAAGCGGGGCTGGGATTTTACTCTAGGGTTAAGGTGAACTGACTGGGAGGCAGCACTGCAAAGAGTCATCTCCTGCCTCTCAGCCCTCAGTGGCCTTGTACCTGCACTCAGGATCATGCTGGGCTAGTGGGGAAATCTGTGGGAAAGTGGCCACGGCCAGACCACCGTACTGAGAAGCAGCCTGCAGTCAGACTGGCTTATGCTGCCTATGAAACCCCACCTCAGGCTTCCAGTTTTCCACAGACATGTCTGACTGTGTCCTTTGCATATGTCTGCACATGGCCTGCATCTACACTACTCACCTCCAGCTTCTTCTGGGGACTTGTTCTTCCTTAAAAATTTTGAGCAATTATAAAAAGAAACTTAGAGTCAGATGCGTGTACAGGGTGCTTTCCTTCCACCTCTCAAATTAATTCTCCGTCTTGCCCTTTGGATAAGCAGTACTTCAGTGGTAAGACCATTCTCTAGAGGATGAACTGGTTTGACCTTGAACTTCTCTTTTATTTTGAATACATAATGAAGTCTTCAGCAGGCCAGGGAAAGCAAGTGATGATAGCTTTGTCCTGGGGGGATGAGTTCAGGCAGAGCGGTTGACTTGCAGCCCATATGGTTGCCTTCACTGCTGGACTTGTAGATACTCTGAGAAGAGACCACGTGCCTCCATGTGCTCCCTCTTCTTTCCCCCTCCAGCTAAAACTGAAAAGTCTCAGGGAAAATGCCACAAACCCTCATCATAATTTCTTGGTGAAACAGGCTGGACAGACTTACAGTTAAATCTGTGGTTTCTCTATTTGTCCTGCAATTTGAGCACTAGCGTATAGTGAGACTTGCACATTTTGTGTAGCGGTAACTGCATAGCTGTGTTTTGCAATAATAGATGATAGTTTCTGGTGTTTTATGTCTGCTGTATTCTTGCCTTTGAAGGAATAGGAGCTAATTGGAGACTTCCTTTCCTTCCAGTTGAGATGGCCCAGATTTCCAAAGCGCTGCACCCATCACAATTATGTCCTCTCTAAGCTCTGTGCTTAGTTCAGGCTGCACACAGCATCCTTCAAGGGAACAGCCATTCCACCACTGATTTCAGGGGTCACGCTCTTCCAGAGCTCTTCGGAGTATCTGGTCTTGCAATTCCCTGCCACTGCCCCCTCCTGCCTTTGCTTCAGCTTCTGCTTGTCCCCTGACCTTCCTTGGCTTGCACCCAAGGCTCTGCAAAGAGCCCATGCTCTGTGCAGTGCATCCCTTTGAAGTGTGCCTATGCTGCCTCTTCTTCTCAAGCCTACAGAGAGGTGGCTACACTCAAAAGCACAAACCTGACGTTAAAACCTGCCCCGCTATTTCTGACCGCAGTGCACACAGCAAGGAGGACTGCTGCCATTTCAGGCAGCGGCACTGGTGTCAGCTCAGTCGGAATTCACCTTCTATTTGTTGCGTGGTTTCTGCAGAGGGACAGCTGCTGAGCAGCCCCTTTTCCATGGCTAGTCACATGCTCTGTGTTGCTTTCCAGTTATTGCCCCCTAAGTCTGTGGGGAGTACACCCCACTGGAAGCAGAGCTTAGTGTGTTGTGGGTGGGAATTATAGTGAGAGTGTTTGACTTCAGCTTTTGTTCTCTCTGAGAGCCACAAAATTGTCTGTATGCACAATCAAGGCATGTTGGCTGGGGCTGACTTCAGATCATGTCTTTTCTGTTAGTTTAGTTTAGTTTCTGTTAATTTAGACAAAATTACTGGTTTCTCTTAGCAAGAAACCTGCTTAATGACTCAGCTCATCCCCGTTTGCTTACTGAGGAGTTGAACATCTTGGTGGGCAATAGGGTATCTGCTGAGGCATCTAATGGGCTGACTTTTCAGCTGGTCTCTGTAACAGGCTAGCAGGATCCACAGTGCACTTAAGAGCTTTATCATCCCAGCACAGAGCAGAGCATCAGCCCCTTCCTCAGGAATCCCATAAGAGAGACATCTGCCTTCCCATTAGTTTCAGACTCTTGTTTCTATATGGTGGTTACCCCCATGGCAGCTCTGCACTGTAGCACGTCCATCAGAGCCCAGCCACCCTGCCTGGGGCAACTAAGATTTCAACAGTCTCAGAAATAATGGGGAAGGGGGGGGGATACCATTCCTTTATGCTGCTAGTTTTCTGGGATGACTATTGGCAAGTCAGACACAAAGGCATAAGCCAAGGTCAGAGCCTTGTCATGCAAGTTACTCTTTCCTGCTTGTGGGAGGTTTTGAATTCACCCAGGTGAGGGAGGCAAACTGCTGTCAGGGTAATAGAGGCAGGGAGAAGATAAAGCTGGGACAGATTTAGAGGAGAAGGGAGAAGGGCTGATCGCTGCTGCTTCCCTGTACGATGACCAACTGCTGCTGGTGGTGACCAGCACTTCTTAGGCCTGCTCCCATACTATGAGTAAATCTCTTATCGCAAATCCCTGAAGTCCTGCGATAGGTGTGGATGGCTGCGTGAAAGCATCTGTCAAGGAAGATACCTGCCTAGGCTGCTTTTCCCAGTGTCAGCAGTGCTGTGGGAGCACGATCTGTCTGCCAGCCTGGAGCAGTAACGTTGTGTTGCGTCTTCTACTGACAGGGAAACTTCTTAGAGGGGTTTGATCACCGTGAAGCCATTTCAGAGAACTGACAGCATTTGCTAATGCTGAGCTCACACAACTGTGTGAGTCACGAGTCGCATTGTGCACTGGTCTCATTTTTGTGCAGCATGTCAAATCAATTGGGGAGAAGAAATGCCAGGGCCTGCTTAAGGAAGAGCTGCTGTATTATTTTTCTTACTCAGATGTTTTTTCTCCCTTTTATCTCTTCATTTTCTTAGGTGCATGATGACTTTCCTATTTAAGGCTGATTGCTCTTTCAAAACAGAGCCTTATCCAGTTGGGGTGTGCCAAGGGTTACTCACAGGGGATGCTCAGGCCATTCCTACCTGAGCACTCAGATATCCCAGACCAATAGCTGACGCAGGTGGGAGAATGGTTCACATTTCTGTGTGCAAATCCAAGCTCTGAAGTGTTTCCCCCTTCACTGCCCAAGCAAGACTCTCAAGGAATGCAAGAAAAATTCTCCCTGAATTAAAAATAAGTCAGCCAGGCATATGGGATTTTGCAGTGAGAGATTAAGCTCTCTTTCTATAGCTTCCTCACCAGAGTGATGAAAAGCAGCCCAGGCTGATCTGTATTAGTCCTGCATGGAAACACAAAAGGCTCAGAGAGTAAAACATTCCCAGACCCAGTGGTGAGCTGAAGTACAGACCCTGATCCTCTTTGCTTGGAAACCTCTGTGTCTCTGCCCTACTGTCCCCCGGGAAACTCCATGATTTTGCAGCCAGGCTCAGAGGCCTCCCTGAAAGGTGTTGGTAGCATTAGAGAAACCCAAATGAAAACTCAGTGAGCGCCCAGCGACAAGTCTCCATCCCTAGGAATAGAGCAGACTAAAGAAGAGATGCCTGAGTAGCTCCTCTGGTTTTGTTGGTGGCAGGCAACACAACATCAGGGCTCAGGAGAAATAGTTTTCAGCTGTGGAAAAGGTAGGCAAGCAAGGGTCTTCAAGGGGCAGGAGCACACTGCTGGCAAAGGCTGGGTACTCACAATGATCTTTGCATTTTCTTTCCTCCAGGAATTTCAGAGAAATCCTTATTTGATCACAGATGGAGTTAGCAGATTTGATATCAAGCAAGGAGAAATAGGTAAGGTCATATTCCTGTTTTGGAAAAGATTGGCACAAAGCAATAACCTGTGATTGCTTTGCTATGTTCTGAGTGCTTGGTGGGAAGACATGGACCACGGTAGCTGCCGTAAACAATCAGTGCAAGTCAATCCAGACTCACACAAGTCCACACACAATTCATTGCAGTTATTTAACAGGATTCCCAAATGCAGCAGCTCTAATCCCTGTTACTTATGTATGGCACCTGCCCTCTACGTATATAAGGATAAGCATAGAAAAGGAGGTCCAACTGAGATCAGGCAGATGCTTCAAGTACAATGATCACAGTTCAGGGGTAAGTAGGCACAGCTCCAACATGTGTAGGACTGAATTTTCTTTTCATCCTAATGTCTTCCTCTGACTCTCAGTGTTTTCTTCCCTGTGGATATTTCTTTCTATCTTCTCTCATCCTTAACCAGACATGTGTCTGCACCCTGTATAGGTTCCATCTTTTTCTCTTGGCCTGTAACCATGTTTGTCTTTGGGAGCAGCTCTGCTCCAATATAGAAAGAAATCTCTTCATATTTCTCACCCCACTGAGAGGTCTGAAGATTTCCTAAAGAATGTTCTAGACTGCAAGTCTCAACATGACCACAAAAGATAGGAGGAGCATGAAAGTAGACAAGGATGGCTGGGTAGCATCAGGATTCCCAAAGGACATTGCTGGTGAATACTGCATAGTGGTTCAGCATTTTTCAGGAGGAAAGGGAGACAGAATAATGTTGGTTTCTCTTAACAAGCTGGTTCTTAGATGTTGAAGTGTGCTCACCTAAAGAGTTAGTTATGGTCCACGACAGTGAGTAACTGACTGAATGCACTGGATTCTTCCCTCCCTTGAGGTGACTGCTGGATGCTGGCTGCCCTGGGCTCCCTGACACTGCAGAAGCAATTTTTGGAAAATATTTTACCAAAGGACCAAGGATTCCAGGATGATTATGCTGGGATTTTTCATTTCAGGGTATGTATTCTCTGCTGTATTGGTACTGCTTGGGCTTGGCTGGTTGGATTATATAGGGGTCCAAACTGCAGTCCCAGATCTCGACATCCTTGAATGCTTTGGTTCTTCAGTGCTGACTCCCAGTTCAGAATTTTGCAGAAAATCCCAGATTTTCTAATGATTCCTTGTGCTCCAGGTGGTGCAATCACGCTTTAGGGAATTTGAAGCCCTTTTCTGAAAATTATGACTCCAGAGGTACAGATACCAGCTGTTCAGGTAGATTTGTGTACATATATGTTTTAGACGGCATTTTGGTGTCTGCTTTGATTTGGACAGTTTGTTATGGCTGTCAGCACAACTGTGCTCTGTATCTATTTGGACTCATTTTCTGTTTCCCTATATACTTCACCTTGCCTTTCTAGCTCGTGGAAATGGCTTGAAATTACAAATCCTTGGAGACAGATCAGAGGAACAGGCTTTTGATATTCTGAAAAGAAGTTTCTTTCAGAGACAAGAGCAAGGCTTTTTAGTAAATCTCACTTTCTACCAACCCTTGAAATTCTCTGAATCTCCCAGGAGGGTGACTGGGATAGTAACTGGCAGGCCCTGCTTGCTTGTATCTGAATCTACCAACTAACTTGTGGGATTAGAAGCACTCGCAGTACCATTAAGCTCCAGAAACTAAACTGGTTGTAGAAAGAATCAGTATATACTCGGCCATTCATCATTACCTTTTTTTCCCAACTTTGCTTTGTTATATGCAGTTCAGTACCAAGCAAAGAGCTCTGGCAGTGGGACTTCTTTGACCCCCTGGAGCTCTCATGGAGCAGCACCAGGAGGATTATCTTGTGGGAAGTCTAAATTTTGCTCCATTCCTTTGCCCCTTGGAATACCAGATGTTTCTGTCTTGGCCCATTTCCAGCATGCAGAGGTGCACTGTATAAGATAAACTAGCTGAATGGACACTACTCCGCTTAAAACACATTAAAAGGATGCAAGCTAGATTGTCGTTCATGAGAGCTTTGAAAAGATTAGTTAGGAGCAATCCTTAAATCTTAAGCAGTATAAATACCTTACAGTATTTGAAAATGTTTTCCCTGTCATCTCATCTGCAAATCAACGCAACTGTTTCTGGCTTTCCTTGAGCAATAAACCCCTGAGAAAGCTACTCTGAATGGAAATGCTTCTCGGCAATGCCTTTCAATTATTCCATCAAAGATATTTTACTGCCATCCACAGGCTAAGCCACCAGTCCTCAGTTCAGTGAAAAATCACAAACAAGGCATATCATATGCTAATATAAAAATTTTAGCTTATAACTTTTTTTCACCCTTTTGGATCTGGAGCACGTTGCGTCTCAGGAGTACAAAGGGCTGCTCCAGTCTTCCTGCACAACACTAGCTGTTTGGCTGCAAGAATTAAGGGTGTTAAGCACTTCATCAGCTGTAGTTAAGAGTGGTAATGTTTTTATCTAGGCAATAATTACAATGATGTTATTTTACCAGGAATTAAGTCAGTCTTGTGTTTGTATAGGAATCACTTTCTCTGCCACAGAAACTCTGATGCTTGTGAGGCAGGGTGTGCCACGCACTGTGACGGTAAGCAGCGGTAGCTCAGCCTGGGAAAAAAACAGAAATATTCTGCAGGGACTACAGGGGGTTATGGCACAGTGCATCAAACCAAAACAGGGAGGATCCACCCTGAGCGTTAATGCCCCTGCTCGCAGGAAGAAACTGATGAAATCTTTAAAGGCCATAAGTGGTCAAGACCTCAGTTTCAGGATACATCCAAAAGGTGCCTTCTAATACCATGGAAAAGAGAGTGGTTGAAAGACATGGGATTTCTCCTTGCTCAATTCCAGAACTGGATTTCTCCAAGATCCCTGTCGAGGAAGGGGAAAAAGGAAGCAAAATAATTACACAGTATTCCCCCTCCGACCAGCAGCACCCTAGGTGTGGTGTTGTCATCTTGCAACTGTCCATTTCTTTTTCCTCCTCTTCTAAGCCAAGGAAAACAAAGTCCTGATTTAAAAGGCTCACCACTAATGTGGAAATGAAGAGCTTCCCTCTTTGAAGCCTGCCTACATAGGGATTCTTTGTTTCACTTACTATCACGTTCCAATCTGCAGTACTTTAAATCCTGAGGGTATAAAGACATTTCATGAAGCCGAACTCTCAAGCCAGAAAGTGAAGGCATAGGACCTCTCTGAAGGCATAGGGGGGAGAATGGCTTCTCCTGTACCACTCTTGCACTCCCAGAGCATCCTAGGACTTTCCATGAGGTTTCTCATTCCCACTGTAGCTTTTCCTGTCCTTGTAAGCTCAGATGAGACCATGATCTTTAAGTCTGTGGCAGTCAGGACAAAGCAGCTCTCTCTACCCAGGTGAAGAAAAATACAGTGCTGCATTCAGAAGGCCTCCAAGCTTGAGCTCCCTACCAAAGATGGCCAAGGAACTTGGCTTTTAGAAAGATGTTACTCAGTGTGTTTGGACTGCATTAATCCCCACAGCCAGTTCCGTGTTGTTATCCTTGTTTACCTGTTGTGTTTGCACATGAAGCACCATGGGGAGGTGTGGCTGGACATCATACCTTTTCTCCATACAGACCTGCTGCCAGGTGTTGGCTGGTGACAGGAGAGCATGTTTGGTGACTTAAAGGACACCTCCTTTTGGACTGTTGTTTTGCCTGTCTCTTTTTTGGGCAGAGGAGAGCCATCGGCAGGCTTTTCCTCAAACCTCATCCTGCCAAAATCAAGCAGAAGGCTCAAACCACTCCTGGAGCTCAAGTTCAGAGAGTCCAACCCTGCCACCTCCTGCTGCCACTAATGTAGGGAGTGAAAGGCTGGGGTGAGGCAGAACTTAAGTAGGATCAAACCTGCTTTCGGCTTAGCAGACTGTAAGCTGCTTTGCTGCTGGGGAGATCTGGTCTTGTGCTTTTCTAACAGAACAGCTCATTTCGGGGTTTTTCATTGACCAAAGCTGTTGAAATAAAATCATGCTAGACTAAATCTATTGCTGGCATACTTCCACTGGAGTCCTTAGCATTACTGCAAATAAGAGCTTGGCCTCTTATGATTGCGAATCATGCTAAGCTACATTAATCTGCTAATGACTCTGGAAATGGCTGCTTTAGTTCATCCCCACAGATCTCTTTCCCTATCTTCTCCCTTGAAAGGTTTCATCAGCTGGATCAGCTAGAGAAACACCTGCTCTGTCCACATGCTGGAGAGACCGCCTGCGTCCTCCTCATCTATCAAGGAGACGGATAACACCTCAAAACAGTCTTTAGTCACTACACGGTCCCTGTCCATGACAGCATGTCAGAGTCTTAATTGAAACACAGAGGAAAGAAAATCTAGAGACTGGATCATGACAGAGGCCCTCTGGCCAAGAGCTGTGCTGCAGGGGAAAATCCAAGTGCAGCTGAGGAGTGAGGCTCACTGAACCATCTGCATGATTGTTCTTTATCTTCTTGAATGCTTGCTATTGCCCAAGAATATTAGCATATTTCCCATGTTGAATCTTTCTTCCCACTGATTGCAGGGCTATTTATATTCCCAAATGACTTCCCCTGCCACTGGGAAATCCAGCCACTTGGTAGCTTGTTTAACAATGTGGACCATTAGCCTGAAGCAGTTCAGGAGACAACTTGCACATATCCATGCTTTAGATTAATTCCTGTGCTATTTCAGGAGGCTGTTGCTTGGCATGAATATTAGCTCTTAAAAGAGGCTCATTCTTCTCTCTTCTTTTTTTTTTCTCTCTTTTTTTAAAATTTTATTTCCAGTTCTGGCAATATGGAGACTGGGTGGATGTAGTGATAGATGACCGACTGCCATTCCTAAATGGAAGATACCTGTCTGTACACCCTCGAACGTCAAATGAATTCTGGCCATCCTTGCTGGAAAAAGCATATGCCAAGTAAATATACCTGTTCTATTCTTCCACCCAGTGCTGAATGCTTTCTACGGGTAGTTTCACCCTCTGCTTTATGCAAAGCACACAGGGACGAGTTCAGGCTAACAGCGGTATATGTTGTGCTGTGCTCATGCAAGGAACTGTGGCTGCATGCAAACACAGGGCCAACAGAACCTGGAGATATTGGTCTCAGGCTGAAGACCTAACTGTACTCAGTTCAAGTCTGGGACATTAATGTCTGAGGAGTAAAATGAACGGGGCAATGGCTGGTGACACAAAAGGGGCTAGGCATCTCCTCCTTACTTTAAGCAGACTTCTTTTGCCTCTGTTTTCCTTTCCATATTTTCCTCTGTTTAAAGGTGCAGACTCTAAGCAGGGATTACCTCTGTTTACAATCACTAATCAGAGATCATGTAGATATTTGGAGCCAGCAATGAGAGGAAACATGGCTGAAGAACATGCTCGGGCACAACACATGCACTCCTGTGAGTCTCTGGTCAGCTCTCACTTCACACACAGAGCTCTGACTCTTGGCTGGGTCCCCAGGGTACTGAAGGGTTAATAAGGATTAATAAAGAGATAATAATTTTTAAAAAATCCTCTGAGGACTGAAGGGATCAGAGTGTGGTCCCTTAGCATCCGTAAGATTGACCATTATTAAATATGCTGTAGAGAAATTCCTGTGTGAGGGGTAGTATGAAGGGCTGGAACTTGGTACACATGCCCTACATCAAGCTGGTGTAACATTTGCAATGCAGTGAAGAGGAGCTGGAGAAGAGAGCTAATTATTTTGGCAGATTTGGTCAGGAATAAGCAAATGTTAAAGCAGCATCTGAATGACTCAGGAGTAGGATGTATTTTGCCCTGGGATATCTCAGAAAAGTTGACTCAGGATTCAGTATCAATTTGCTGCATAAGATTTTAATTACAAAGCAAACCAAACCTCTATTAAATTAAAGTTGCAAGCGATGCTGTTTATGAGATTCCCATTTGAGAAGTTTTTCCCCGGTGCCCATGACAAATTCTTTTCATCAGTGTAGGACAAGGACGACCCTTCAAAATACAATTAGCCGCAGACTTCATTTGATTACATTCATTAAATACAGCGTGGATGGTAGGGTTTAACAGCATGCTCTACCTGCTCTAAGTACGGCATGTTCCAGCTTATTTGCTGTCTCAATAAAAAGCACACGATAAAAGCAACAAGGACTGTGTTGGCAATATTAAATTATTATCCTATTATTGCACTCCAGCAGAGTGAATTGGGAACAGTGCTGAAAACTTATTTTTGTCTTGCCTTGGGAGCATGGGCAAATACCTTCACCTCTCTCTTCTTCCTATTTCTCACTTGCAAAAGGGACACTGTCCTTTTTTTTTGAAGAGTCATGACAAAATATGATGTAGAAACTAACAGTTCAGCTCCATTTGATCTGAAACATGCATTTGAACTAGTCACCCTTGGCCCCCTGTTCAGAAGAAGGAGACTGGATACTTCAAGATGAGATGCAGCTCATCTCCCTAAAACATCTGTGTTGACATGAGATGCACCTTATTATTTTTCACTGTCTGTAAATGACTCTAGACAGCTGCCTCAGATGTGGGTGAATACATAGGAAGAAGTCCCTCTTTGCCTCATTCATTCCACAGGGCATGTGTTGTGTCTGGCCACGTATTTCTATCACGTTTCCTTTCACTACCTGGCCCCGTCATCTACGCACCCCAGGCTCCTCCCATGCTCACTGCCTCGATGCACATATCCATTTTGGAAGCCATCGCTGTACATTGCTTGTTAAAACACAGTGTAAGGACTAATTGACTCTTTTTTTTCTCCCTTCCCCCCCACAAGGTTTCGGGGCTCCTACCAGAACTTGCATGGAGGTTACCTTTCTGATGCTTTAGTAGACCTCACAGGTGGCATCCAAATGCAGTTTTCATTGAGGGATCCCCCTCCTGATCTGGAGGAGATACTGAAAGCAGCTGACAAATCTCAGTGTCTGATGGGATGTAGCACCTCAGGCCAGGTGAGTCACAGGGCCAGTAGCATGCCTTTGTTGGTTTACCATGTTTACGTAAAGGTTGCTTTTTTGAGTAAAAAAGGAAGTCCATAATCATTCTGTGCAATAGTTACAGTTTATGGATGCCTGAAGAGATGTTGGCAGAAAAAAGTAGGTAAGGTTATGCAGTAAGGAATGTAGATGGATTGGTCTGTCAGAGAGGGGTCTGTGGCTTCTCTCCTGGCTAATTCCACTATGATAGAATGGTATCCTCTTGCAGCAGGGCTGATTTTGGCCTCACAGCTTTGTGATCGAATCTGGCAAGGCCAAAATGCACCTCTCTTCTGCAAGAGGGTGCTATTATCGCATTGTGATTTGCAGGCTACTGGTATTAACGCTGGGAAGTTGCAAAAGGCTTTGTGATGCTCAGCAAGTATCTTGCTAAAAGGTTGCTAAGGCTTCCCTTACAACATGTAAGGGAAGACTGCAAAGCGTGTGACATTGCTCCTGTAGTGCCTGGTTCACTGGGACTCGAAGCTCAGCTGTTGCAAACAAGCCAGGGACTAGCCCCTCAGCTCAGGTGGCTGATACTGGGCTGTGGGTGGCAGGGAAATTCTGCCAGTGACACAGTCCAGATCATTCTGCAGTTGCAGCAGCTCTGGACCATTGAAGAACTTGCAAATATGCGAAGACCTGTAGTTTTGTTAAATTTACTGGCCTGCTTATGGCTGCAGTGGAAACCATAGTCACATTCCTCTGGAGCCAATGTATTTGAGATACTGCTGTAGTCAAAACCAAGTTGCTTTTTCTGCCGTGCCAAATGACAGTTCTGATTGCTGATGGCCATACCTTTGTAGTGTGGCAGAGAGCTAAAGGCTGTGCTTTTTCCCTTCGGCAGCCGAGGAGGAACATAGAGTTGGGGAATGGGATTGTACAGGGTCACGCCTACACTGTCACAGGAGCTGTGAAGGTAAGATCAAGGACTTGTTCCTGTCTGGTGGTTTTGCATGGGTGATCCACTACAGGGCAGTCATGCTGCTGTTCCGTTCAGAGTAATTTTAATTAGCTTCACCCTTAGGAGGGATTGTTGAAAGCACATAGTTCAAATTCCAGGAGATGGAAGGTTTCTGCCACAATGGGAAGAGGGAGGATATCTGAATCCTATAATTTTTTCTAACGGAAAAATGCAACTTAAATTCACTTTTGTGTTGGGACACTTCAACAGCAAATACAGCATTTCTGGGGATATTAATTCCGTGCCGACTCTTAAAAAATTCATTTTTCTGTTTCAAATGGGAATAGAAGCACTGGCTGAAATTGTGGGATTTGTCATATGCAAATCTACATTTGTTCAGCTCAATCCCAAGCTGCCAAAAATCACTGTGTGAAAAGTAAATAACTTGCTGGTTCAAGAACAGTATTTCTCCATCTTTTAAAGCTGTTCTACTCACGCAGAACTTCTCCTAGCTAGATATTAATATTGCTGATCTGCAAACGGGACTAATTTATCACACAAATCAAAAGAAATGAAGGATTTTTTACAGCCAGAAGTCAGAACATGGCTTACCTCACTAAGCTGCAGTGCACACAGGGAGAGTTAACAGTGAGCAAGGCCAAGAAGGAAACCAAACAATGGCTATGCTATCAAGCAAGATAGCTAGAACACATTTTAATCTCAGAACCTAAAGTACTTTGGAAAGGGGATGTGTTTTCCCTAAACTGTTTTCTTCCTTCTCCCCCTCTCTTTAACAGTTTCGCGTATGAGCTTGGCTTTGGTTCATAGCCCCTCATGCCATGGCGTGCTTGGTGCCATTATCATAGTCTGTGTGCTTCTTCTCGGAGGATACTTGCTCATAGCCAAGAGGCTCCAAAATGGAAGGATGGGGTTTGCCAGGCTCCAGAGAAGGCTCCAGCTGGGTCTCTCCAAGACAGGGGTGGAAGGATCCTGAATCCTATTGGAGAGAAAGCAGGCTGTTTCAGCTTGCTGCCGCTCGTGATTAGTGCAGGGGGGCAAAACAGTCTTCGCCTCACCTTACAGGAGTGCTGAGGCATCCAGGGGGGTGTCCTGTGGGGAAATGATTTGAGGCTGGCCAGGGGCTGGGACTTTGCCTGGGAAGAGACTGCCATGGCCTTTGTTTCCAACACTGCCTGTGTGCATAAGGAGAGCCAGAAACAAAACATTTGCTTCTCCTTTCCGCTTCCGCCATTTTGGCTTCACTGGCGAAAGTGAGCTGCTTCTGGCTCAAACCAGTCACAGCAAGAGGAGAAAAGCACCAGAAACTCCAGCTGTTGGAAACCGCAGTACTGTAGATATAGAGCCACAGATGCTGTTTATCATCATCTCTCCGTGCTGACTGTCGACATTCACTCCAGGCAGTCTGGTGACCTCGTTCCTCAAAGTCTCTGCCTTTGCTGACTCACAGAATCAGATGTGCAGAATTGGGCACTGGAGTTTCCCAAGGCTGTTGAAGTCATGCAGTGTGGCAGGAATGCTGCTGCTTCCCTCTGTGTCAGCTATTCACTGTCCTCAGAAAAGCAAAATGGGCACAGTTTTCTCCCACACCTCATTCCTTTACGATGTAGCAAAAGACACTGATTTTTAGCTGCAGTCAAATGAGATCAGAAGTTAAACCAGGTCTCCAAGGTATAGACGAAGATCCATTTTATTACCCATCTCTTCAGTGAGTATCACAATTGTAAAAAGCAGTGACTGAGTTTATTTTACTTTCCTCTTTACAGATACGCTACAAGAATGGCTGGAAACATATCATCAGAATCTGGAATCCGTGGGGCCATGGGGAGTGGAAGGGGCCCTGGAGTGATAAGTATGATCTTAAAGCTTTAATCTTATAAGGAGAATCACTCTTTTATAGGCTTATTGTAAAGGACCTCTGCCTTGCATCCATTATAATGAAGCAGACATTTCTAAATCAATTCATTATAAGCGTTATTTCCATCTGCAAAGCAACTGCCCGCAGAAATCCAATCCAGGGAAAACTAATGCAGCATTGGTTTTATATGTGCTCCTCACTAGGTCTAGCTCAGGCATCTTTTTGTCTATGTGTACATTTTTCCCAGTGGGTAATTCCAGACAAGTCATGGATGAAAGAGTTATTACCCGGAGTAAGCTCTGGTCATGCCCCTAGGTGCTGGCTGGCTGCTTCTATAGAATTCTGCAGCAATCGTGCATCCACCTTCCTGCTCCTTCTTCCCCTCCCATGAGTCCAAATCTGGGAAGAGGATGGTTAGCAGAGTCCATGAGACTAGGGCAGTATTTTTATGCAGTATTTAACACAGAGAGACAAAAAGGGTCCTTGGTTATTGCAAAGGTGAAGTGCCACTGGGTGACTTGAACTGATCTTTTGGATCCTGCATGCAGCTTTGGGATGCAAGGACCACTTTGCTGCTGTGAGTATAAGCTAACTTCTCTTTTCTGAGGAATGGAATGATACAGAGGAAGACTGCAACAGTGTTTTGTAAATAAATAGATGTTAGTTTTCCTGGTGGAATTGCATCAGTGTTATCCTGACTAGAGAGATGTTCATGTGTCACTCGTACATGATTTAATAGCATCCCACCTCTCCCTGTTGCTAGGAACACTCACAACTTCACTGCTGAGAAAAGTCAGGCTAGCGTGTTGTGTCTGGATGGGTTGGCGGGTGATGCAGACACGCTTAAGGCTGGGATAATAGCTATCTGCTCAGACAGCATCCTCCCGTTTTTTGGAAGGGTGAACTATAATCCTAACTGTAATTGAAATGTCAGTAGAGCGCGTTCACAGGTAAGCTGCATAAATCAATAAATTATAGATTCATGCTCTGTTTATTTATCTTAAACTCTGCAGAAAGTACAATTATCACTTAATTATAAACATGCTGCTTGGAAGCAACACATTTGACTGGCTAATGTGCCCTCTACATGTCAGTGTAATATCAGCATTATGCCTTGGTACCTCACTAACCTCTCCAGCATGGGGACAGGTGACAGGGGCTTGCAGGGCAGAGGCAGGATTCGCCATCCCAGGGTGGGCAACCTGGGCACAGCAAAGGTGCGGAGCTCTGTTTGCTGGCCTTGGCTATGAAGGTACTGAGCACAGTCCTGTTCCCAACATGCGGTTTACTCGCCCCTCCTGATCCCTCATAACTTAACGGGCTGGTTAGAGGAATGGGCTGGCCAGAGAGATGGAAAATTGTGCCTCACATCTGCTTGTTGCTTTGTTCCTGTTTACAGCTCTCCTCAGTGGGACCATGTTGAGCCTAAATGGAGGGAAGCCCTCCTCAGAGACAAGGATGATGGAGAATTCTGGTATTTCCCTATCAATCCTCCTGTCTACCAGGTTTTCTGTTCATGTTCATTATGAAAAAGAGTCATTTAGGCAGTTCTCTGCTCTTAGGAATGGCTCAAGGCACCATGTGCTAGCTGTGTGCAAACAGCAAATTGGAGGTTGTCCTGATTCCATGGTTTCAGAAGAAACAAGACCTGGAAGAACGGAGCTGGCCAATATTAAGTAACAAGCTGGTGAAAAAAATGAAAAGTGAGAGAAGTAGAAATCCAGCTGGCTGAGGCCTAGTCGTTTTGTCACACTGCCTCTCCCCTAAAAGCACCTAGCTTGAACCTTGGACTGGCTGGTGCTCGGAGGGGACCGGTGGCTGAGCAGGTCATAGAGCTTGTGCACTTGACCGCTCTGCAGGTGCTTGTCGTTTTTCACTGCCTCTGATTACTCTCGGATCCAGTTTAGCCATGTATGAGCAGTCCTTTAGAAAAGGTATTATTATTCACAAAGTGCACACTTGCCCCACAAGGCTCTGAGGAAAGCAAGGGAACAGCAGGCTGGTGTGAGGTAGACACTGCAGGCTTGAGAAAAGCATGAGTGTGGGGCAAGACGCTGCAGAGGGACAAAGCAAGGTAGAGTGGCAGAGATGTGCTGGAGATAGCAGGACTCCACCTAGGTACTATTGAACATGTCCTGTAATTTCCCTGGGGCTTTAGGTGCAGTTAGGGCAGCCCAAATGCATTGAGAGCTGACGACTTCTGCACGGTATCAGCCAGCTCAGCTACAGCCTGCAGTGCTCCTTGTAATCCTCCTTTAAAGACGTGGGGAGTGAACGTGAGTACCTGGTTGGTGTCTCAAACTGAAAGGTAAGATTTTCTCCTTCTCTGCAGGATGTCCTGTGAAAACTTCCAGGAGCAGTTTTCCTGGCTGTATATATGTAACAGTACCCCAGCGTTTCTGGACTTTGGAGATCAGCACTGCACGACGTGGTCTATGGAAAGGCACGTCAGCCTGTGGAGTCCAGTCCTTGCCACAGGCAGGAACAACTATTCCCCAGGTAATGAGCACTCATTGCAGTCACTGAATCCTCTCCTCCTCTCCACTGGTGCTTACAGTCAAACATTCACTCTGAGCACTGAAATGCAGAAATATTGATTGCTAGTTGTTAATGCCTGCCCTTTCCCATTACAGCACCTATCAGCTGGAGAGGCAGAAACAAAGCAGCAGCACTGGCTGCTGAGTTAAAGCAGGAGACTTATGATTTAGAAACCCTGAACTCTTTAAATCAAAATCTGCTTGTCTCTCTTCTTTCAGTCAGTTGCAGTAAGTGTTACTGGGGACCTCATCAGAAAGTCTGGTCTGGCAAATACGTAGTTGATTTTACAGAGTGAGAAATACTCGCAAATTAAATGGATGTGAAATGAAATAATTGAGCTACAGAGCTCAATTTTCAAAGGTAGAAATGCCTTTGAGCAGTTAAGACCGTTGGTTTTACTGCCTGTGCAAGGACTTTTCTGGCATTGCAAGCTCCGATTATTAGTAGTATTTTTTTTTAAATTTTTGTCTTTTTTACCTTATCTTAATTTATCTTACTTTTTTACAGATGCATCACTCTTTGGGTTTTGTGTTTTTAACCTAAGATGGTAGCATGTGGTCAGTGAAGGAGCTTCTTTTTTCTGCAACGCTGACAGCAGCAAGCAGGTTTCAGCTCACAGGTTTCAGCCTCCTCCTCATAACCTTCATCACCGTGTCTCAATGGGTGATAACAAAGCAATGCCTGTGCTGCTGCGCACCACGGGCACTGGGACTGAGCGAGGAGGTGCGGGGGCTGAACTGAGACCGTGTGGGCAGAGCCAATTTCCTTGGAGCTGTGTTTTCTACCAGCCCTCTAGTAAAGTTCCTCTCCAAGTACAGTTGGGCTAAATTGCAGCTTTCGAGGCCACCCAACACAGCTACATGGCTTAAAGTCTAGACTGGTTTAAGCAGATTCTGCCATCTCAGTCCTTTTTCCCCAGTTTGGGCATTTTACTTCTTTCTTATCAGGGATGCTTCCTGTTAATCAAAACCTTGGCCAAGAAGAAACCTTTTCCCTCTTCTGCTCAACACTCTGTCTTGTCCACCACAAACGTTAACAGGAAGGAAGGGGAGGATAGCTTTGGACTTTTTCTGACTTTTTTTTTTGGTAATTTTCTTTTATGTGTTTGTGCTCTCCAAGCTACAATCCTTTTCAGCTCAGCCACTGGGTCAGGCGGCTGATTAAGAATCACTGTTTTCTGCCTCGGGGCAAGTGTGCCATGTAGGTGAAGCAGATGTAGGGGGATTGAGAAATCTGCATGACTTTGCCAGAGATTTCTAGAATGTGCAATCAGTTTAACTCCAGATGCCTCAACTCCTACTGGCAATGTAGAGACTACAGTGCTCTATTGTGTTGAAAGGATCTTGGAGCAGTAACTACCTATTCCTCTGGGTCCATACAAGCAAGATCTTACACAAGAAGCTACTACTGGGACATCTATGTGGCTACTATTAATCTATTAACACTTTCTCAGCAGGTGCAGTTTCAACGAACCCTCAGTATTTTTTCAAAGTGCCGGATTATGCCCCAAACACCTATAATGTAGTCATTTCACTCATGCAAAAACATGCTAAGGGTATGCAGGATGCAAAAAACCTGAAGATTGGCTTTTTTATCACCATGGTAAGAACAATCAGGTATCATGTTGGCACTGTTGTTTTCTGTGTGGCTTATTATATCTGTACATGGAAGTGAAAGACTGAATTGTCTTTTAGGCTGTAAAAAGAGAGCAGTCAGTATTTGGAGTGAATTTCTGGGTGCCTTCTATTGTAGAATATCACAGGAAAAGTAGAGTTAGGCAGGCTTAGTTTGCTTTATTCATGTCTTAAGAGAGGAAAGGTTGAACTTTTAGCTCTGTAGCATCCCAAAATAGCCCTGGGAAACTCAGGGAGCCCCGAGGTTACAAGGTGTGCCAGGAAAATATCCTCTGTGCCCAGCGGTACTTGTGACGTGCCTTGCTGGCCTGGCACAAGGCATGACAGCCAGCCCTAACCACAGCGCTTGAATGGTACTCCAGGTCTACTAGGGAAGCGAATGGCCTCTTGTTCCCCAAAATGGGCTTGTCTTGCTCATCACCCATTTTCTAGCACAGAAATGCCATGCAAAACACATTTACAAATACACGGAAGACTTTGCTCAAGACCAGTGCAGAGGTAATCCCCTCAGATACCTGGGACCACCATTACAATTTCCCTGTTTTTTGTTTTTCTTGGTGACTGTCCAAGGAGCTGCCATTTCAAGGGCAGTTGTTGTCAGAGCATTACCAGACTTACCAAAAGCACAATGGCTAGTGCAGATGGATGCTAGCCTTTTCCAAAGTGTTTTTAGTGTTGGCTGAGGAGGGTGGGAGGGGGTTGTTCTTAACCTGAAGAATAAAAGGAAGCAAAGATTGCTATGACCCTAACTTCACATTCTCCTGATCACTGGAGAGGTTTGCCCTAGTCCCAGACTTTGAATAATTGATAACAGCTCCTCATAAAGGAAGAGCATGGCTTTGTAGCTCATAAAAAAACAGTGTCTGAAAAATAAAAGGTGTAATAAAAAAAGCATCTCTCCAGCAAGAACTTACTATCCCTATGCAAGAAGATCCTCTGCCTGGTGCAGATATCAGGCCTGCAGGACTCCATGGGGCCAGGCGTGCCACTCGGAAAGATCTGCTGCTCCTGGAAAATGGGGAACTTGCTCCTTCCAGCATCCTCATGAGCTGTCCCCCAACAGTCACCAGACATGCAGGTCCCTGCATGCTCTTCCATGGTGCGTGTCCACCTTGACTGGTTACCCATTTTAACAGAAATGACCCTCACTGGGAGGTGATGGCATAGGTGTTGGGTCCCTTGAAAAGAGATTGTTTAATCAGGAAGTAGACTAGGGGACAGATTTGCTCTATTCTTGCTTTATATTTAAAATTTCATTCTTCCCCTCCAGTTGATGCTCAGGTGCATTCATTTAGTTTTTCTCTCTCTTGGTATGTTCCCAGAGAACAGAGAAAATAGTTTTTTCTTTATTTCCTGGAGAAAATATTGTCCCATGGACACAGCTGCTATTTTAACATGAGAGCTGGTCTACCAGCTCCTCACAGCCAGCCCAGTGTCCTGCCCTGGTAGCAGCAAAAACCAAGTCCAGGCTCTAAAACCAGGGTAGGTGTACAGTGCTGTTCCCTGGGTTTATTTCTCAGTGTCTAGCCTCAGTGCCTGAGGGCAGTCAGAGGTGGCATCTTTGCATAAAAGTTTATGAGGGGTATTCTCTGCACAAAGAAAGTGCAATTGTGAAGATTCATGTGGCTTCGCTCTTCCTCCCTGAACTGCTTTCACTGCCATTATTCATTAGCAGTGCCATTCATTGTTCAGTACCTTTTGAGATGCATCACATTGTTGCTGTGAAGTAAAAAGAGTGTTCTCCCTTGGCAGGATGAGAGGGGAATGCAGTGCAGGCAAGGATGCAAACCACAATGGACATATCTGATAGCTCTAGGAAGCCTTTGATTAAATATAGACGTGGAACACTAATACGTGGCTGTGAGGGAAGTTTAATGTTGTGTGATAGAGCTGAGCAATGCATAGAGGCTGATTCTTATCTCACACCGGTTTTGACTCCATTGAGATATTAATCTGCTGCTGCTTTTTACCAGAAGGAATGTGGAATGAGACCCCAAAGTAAAAAAACAGGATTACACCATTTATTTCTTTGCAGCACTGCCCATTTCTATCTGCTCAAGATCCGACCCATAATACTTGGCAGTCTACGTACCTCCCAGCCGTCTGTAACAGTAGTCATCTTTTTTTTTTTCTCTCCCAAAATAGCAGTTTTATGTTATTGTCTCCCAAAGGCATGGCTCTTAAATAACTCTGCCATGCTGTATAACCATTCTAAATGGAATTTATACATGCTGATGTATTTTGGGGAATATGTTTAGTAAGGGTTTTTTATTATGCTGTCTTTACATGTCATCATAGTAATAGCTGTTGCATTATATTTGTTTCGTCTCAGCAAAAATAATGGAAGAAAGATCAGAATATTCTGTTTTCTTGTGACACTTGCTGGAAGGTTTGGGTTGTGATTCTTGAAGCATTGTCATCTGGGTGAGATGCTTAGTGAGCTTTCTGACCTCTCTGAGTCACGCTAGATGTCAGGGAAGTTTTAGTAGGAGTATTCATCCTTGATTCCTTCATGAAGTCCAGTCTGCTTAATGTTAATTGAAGTTCTCTTCAAAGCCACTTACATTCATTTTGCCTTCTGTTTCTTTCAGTTTTTCCACCCTTGTGCATTTTTGATGTGTCCTTGAAGAAAGTCTGTCACCTGGATGGACTTTTCATGCCTTTGGGGAGGTTAAGGCATGTTAGATGCAGTGTATATTTAGAGAGCTGTGGGAATGTAAGGCTGCTGTGGGTGCACTTGCTGATTTACTTTGGTTCCTGACATGAAGGGGAGATAGCCGGCTATATTTTTCTTTCAGGAGAACTCTGAAGTTCTGAAACAAAATTTTTCTGTGACTCGAGATGTGACCAACTACTTTATCTTGAGCCCAGGAACATATGGTGTCGTTCCTGCTACAACAGAGGACCAAGAATTTGAATTTCTCTTACGAATTTTCACAAAGAATCAAGACCACAACAAGTAAGATGATAAGTACTCCTTAAAGGCCCCAGACTTAAAGTGTGCCAGGATTTAACAATTTAATGTCAAGATAACTAATGTGGCAATTTGCTTCTGACATACTCTAGAAGCATGTTGGGAAGATGCAGATGAATGCTAAGCACCATGTTAAGGGGGATCAGACGTATAGTCAGATGCGTAGGGATGGCCACTGCAGAACAGGGCAATAGCTCCTCTGCAGCCACCAATGGTCTCAGCTTTGGTACAAAGAGCCACACAAGCGAGCAAAAATTGTGAGATATGCCCCCTGCCCTGATTGTGGGGAAATCTCTCTTAATCGAAAGGAGGACTGAGAGCTTGTTTTTCTTAACAACTATTATGCAGTTTCTTAGGTTATGCCAGCTGGACGCCAGATGGATCAGGTCCCACTCTGCTCAGACCAGGACCTAGAAAAGCAAAGAGCAGTAAAAGGCCTTAATCCTTTTACCCAGCCATCTCATAGACAGGCTGGTAGGGCTCCCTGTAGGTATGAGAGGGGCCCTGAAGATAAGTTTAGTGGAAAAATGGTATCTTAGTTCATGCAAAGGCAGCTGTTATCACATTTTCACAAAAATACCTGGGTGTGCTTTACATAAAGAACAAGCCCCAGCATTCAGCCTTACCAAATGACCTTCAAGCGTCAGATGTGCAGTGGCTTTCCTTCAGCAAGCTTTATACTGGAGGTGATTGCAGCTCTTACCTCATAGGCCCATATCTTAATAATGAGATTGCTTTCTAGGCTTTGGCCTCTGGCAAAAATAGCCCAGAACCAACTAAGGCAACCCCTTAGTTATGGAAAGCACACATGAGGAGTCTGTGCTTTGGGTTGGACTGCCTTCAGCATGATGAGTCCTGCACAAGATGGCTCAGCCTTGGGAGGCAGCACTTTCCAGGAGAGCCTCCGACCCTCACAGACCTTCCTGAGCTAGGCCAAGCGTGGGGATCGCCTTCCCATGGGTCTCTGCAGCACTCACCTATGTAATAGTGCAGATGCTATAAAAATAGCATCTGGCTTGCCTAATTTCTCTACCAAAAGCAAAACTCAAGTATTGAATGTTGCTACTAAGTGAGTCTCAGAAGGAACGGTGACCCTGACTCAATTTCAGGCAGTCTGCAGACATTTAAAAGATGTTGCCTTTTAATAGCCCAGATGCTATTTTTATTCCTGACTATTAAACCAGGCAAAGAGAAAGCAGGTGAAAATTTTATATGGCTCAAGGCAGGGTGGCCCTGTCTTTTGTGTGATGAGGTTAATCCTGCCATGCTCAGGTGAGACAAGTTACCCTTCCTCTGCTGCTGGTGCCAGCAGGGCCAGCTTGGGGAAAGCAGTGGCCCCAGAGCAGCCAGAGACTCAGACCTTCTCATGTCTGGTTGCACAGAGGGACCCAGGACTGGTGCAACAGGCTTGACTGGACTGGGACAGGCTGGGCAGTGTGGGTGCTGAGCATCTTGTGGGGCCGTGGGCTGGATGAGCATTCCTGTTGGTGGCTGCCTTCTGCCACATCTCCAAATCAGTGCTCTGAAAAGGCCCATTCTTTCCCAGTTTGACTCTTGTAACTCTTTTCTAGGAACCCAAACTCCCTGCCCAGCCCAGTGCTGCCGATGGTAAGAGTCTGTGAAAACTGTTGTAGATACTGGTGGTGGTGAATGGTTCCCAGAGACCTGACCATTCGGTAGCCATCTCTACTGACTCCTCTTCTTCCTTCCCTATGTACCAGACACCGCTCTGCTCTTCTTTCCTTTCACCACCCAGTACCCGTCCCAGAGTTTGACTCTGGCACCCTGCGACCTTGCTGGGAGAGCAGGTCGCCAACCTGGGGTACCTCTCTGGAGAGATGGGAGTGACAACGAAGCCCTTCCTCTTCACATATGTCTCTTTCAGAGCCTGATTTTTGAAGGAAACGTATCTTATACAGTCCCTCTGTCAGCCTGTCCGTCTGTCCTTTTCACCTTGCTACCTTTAACACTTTGACCGCCAAATATAGCAGGGGGGAGAGCATTTCAAAGATACTAAATTCTTGCAATGTCTGTAAAATGGCTATGTATCTAAGGAAGCGAGAGGGGGAAGCTTTGATGAAAAAGTCACAGCTTGAGTTTGACCTCTTTTGAAAAGCCCTCACACCTGAGAGCGGGGTCATACATGCCTTCCCCATGGGAATGGCTTCATTTAAGTGCTTGCACCCTATAAAGCACAGGAGTCCATAGAGGTGAGACCCAAAGCGGAGGAGTTGTGATTTTCATCAGCATATCTTCACAGACGTAAGGGAAATTACACTTCAAAACTAGTTGCGCCTCTGGTTTAACCCACGTTTCAGCCTGTCTAGCCCAGCTACCATCTGTTGCTGGACTTCCTCGCTGTGAACTGTGCAAATTGCCAGAGCTGGTCCAGTCCACGCTGCTGTCTCAATGGTTGCTTGCAAAATCCTGCCACTGAGAGGCTGTTATTTATAGCAGTGCAAACTCAGTGCAGGTCTTTGAAGCGAAAGGTGTAAAGCTGCTTCAGGAGAACATAAAACAGAGTCCTTTCCTTGTGATTAATTTTCCAGCCTGCAATTAAGCCCCATTAGAGGGGTAGTGTAAATGGTGGCTTATTATCTCTTTCCACTGACAAGCTGTCAGTTTACTCAGCTGTTTTTGTTAGCCAATGTTGTGACTTTGATGAATTATGGCACCCACACTTTCTGCTCTTGTTCAGGTATTTGGGCTTCACTGGTGTGAATTACCTCACACAGAGCTGAACGCATTGGCGCTTAGGCTTAGATTTTTGGGGGAAACTTTATAATGTTGAGGGATAGTTCTCCTTAGTGCCTGGTAGATCTCCTCACCGGAGGGTTGAAAAAAAATCACTTAACCATTGAATTGCAATTGCTTAGGTACAGTCAAGCCTGCCTTGGGGCTGAAAAGGTATACGAGAAATGAAAGGTCAACTCCTGCTCTATTTTCGTGGTTCACATGAATCTTCACATGCCCTAAGCCAGTGATTTCAATCGGGGGCCATCAATAAGGATCAGGCTTTGTATCTCTGTACTTACGTATTGACTTGCTGAAGTCCACCCTGGATGTGTTCTGTTGTCTTCCTCAGGCCCTGAGCTGCTCCTTCCTGGTTATACTAACATCCAAACTATGCTGCTTCCTTCACTGCAGTAGCTGTTCCTCACTCCTAGTCCACTTTACTTTTGGGGTGTTAAAACTCCAGCCTGTTCTGTACATTCCCTGCCCTCTCTAATGTGCTGTTTGGATCTGCAGGCTTCTGCCTCCAGTTGTTTTGTAACTGAATTATTTATGTGCGTACTTTGTCTTTGATTCAGGATGGATCAAGACAGAACCAGGACAGCTCCTATAAGGCTGTCTTCCTAAGATACGCTAAGCAGGTATCCTATCTAAAACATCTTGCTGAAAAATAAAAATAAAAAAGGCATATGGATTTGCAAAAAGAAAAACTGATCTATGATGTTGATACAAACCCATTTAGAAAAATGTTTTTTGGAAATATAGCTCCATCCTCAAGCGGATACCCTGAAAACAGTATTGATTGAACTGCCAAAACCCCCAGAAAAATGGGACATTCAGCTAGGATAGATTGGCTAGCCCCATATATCAGCAGAGGATTGGAGATTTATGGTTGTGCTGGTGATGGGCTTGCATGTGTACTTTTTTTTTTTTTTTTTGGCTTTGGTTTGTTTATTTACTGAAAGCAATTAGAAAGACTTGGGTATTCCCCCCTCTCATCAGCATATTTTCCATTTGCCTTCACGGCATTTGGAAACCAGACATCAGTCAGCATTTGAGTAATTGATTCCTGCTCTTTCATAGCCAAACTCTGTGTGTTCACCGGAGATGCTTTTAATGGTTTAATAAACTGTTATAAAGAACTCCTCGACTTAGTCAAGAGGGAAAAAAAAAAAATTCACTGCCAAGTATTTGCACAATGCACTTCTTGCATTTGGTAGTTATATTGATGCATGAAGGTGAAAATGAACACGGGCTGCCATGCTGAGTGCCCTGGGGGTGTCTCGGGAGGGAGGCAGTCAGTCAGCTTCACCAATGGACAGTTCAGAGGGAAGTCTGTGGTGACAGGAGTGCCTGTAACTCCCCTGCAAACTCTTGTGGGGAAGGACAAAGAGTGGCCCAGCAGCACGGAGGGCTTTGTTATGCTCCCAGGGGGGTGCTGGTGCTCCTCTGATATAAACAGAGGTTCTTCTTGGTTGCCACAGTGCATGAGTAAAGCAGTTTCAGGCAAAAGTGACACACGAGAAAACCTTATGCTCACAGACCTCTCTTTGCATTTTATTCTGCATTAGGGCTCAGCTATTGATGCCTCGCAGCTGCAACAGCTCCTTAATGAAGTGATCCTGCAAGGTAAAGCTTTTACAACTCAGCTAATGTCATTGGTGCTTCTCTATCCTTAGTCTAGTGTAAATTAGACAGGATTTAGTGGTGTCCTGATGGTCCTCCAAAAATCCTCAGTGTGGCTTACTGCACTGTTGAATCTTGAAGAATGAGAAGTGCCTCCACCAGGGTACCTTTACATGCACAACAGTTTGGCTTTATTTTTTAAAGAAAATCAAAGCAATATTCACATGAAAAAGGCAACGCAATCCAGACCAGGTGCTAACAGACCCTTCAAGGAATGGCTGTCAGCAAAGCTGTGCATCTGCTCGACAGCCAAATTTCACCCTCCTCTCCCCCTCCCAGTTCTGCCAAGGGATAGCCCCTGCTTTGCAGACCTACCCTACCCCCTGTTGCCCTTCTCCTGGATGTCCCCGCAGCCCCCATGAACACCCCTTCCCGCTCCATGCCCCACCAATTGCAGGAGGAACCCAGTCCCTGGCTGGGCTGCACCAGTGAGCGCCCCAGGGAGCTGTGCCTCCCACTCTCCTCATTGTCACCCAGTTTCTCCCAGTTCAGCCCTGGCCTGCATCGCTCCTCTGCAGAGGCCTCAAGCTGGCTTTCAGCATTTCCCAGCCTTCCTAACCTGCCCACCTCGAAAATAGCATGAGACAGGGGCACAGCCAGAGGGCACGAACCAACTCAGTCGCGCACAAGCCTCAAAGCGCTCTTAGGACTCGCTAATTTAGCATAAATGGCCTTTCTTGTCACTGTCATTTCCCTTACCCTTATTTCAAGAGGGAAAAGTTTCCATCAGGGCAGGTAGGTGGGCAGAGACTGTGCAGAGTAGCTACCTGTGAGCCTAAACAGGGCACCTGTCCTTGGGGAAGGGAGCAGCAGAGATGTCTGAGACACATCCCACTCCCTCAGTGGACCTCAGCCTGGCATGTAGCCCTTGCTGCTGTTTGAGAACCTGAGCCAGAGCTGGGGCTTTTTAGCTATGTGAGCTTTCCGACTGGTGTCCTCCTTCCCTCCAAATGGTGACCTGATGCCTCTGTCACCCCCCTTGCTCTCACCAACTCCATCTGTTTTGTCAATCCTTGCAGATGAAATGACCAGCCTGGGAGGAAGATTCAGCTTCGATTCATGCAGAGGCATTTTAGCTCTGATGGATGTATCCTTTCAGCAGAAGCAATAAACTTCCCTGGTGCTGCCCATCCTTGTCTTGAGTTACGGCTGAGCTGAGCATCCCAGTGTGAGAACCTGCAAGTAAATATTAGCCACGGTCCTCAATAAATAACTGTGCCAGAATCTGTGCAGGACTTTGCCATGCATGCCCTGGCTGTGGTGTGTCTGTTGAAAGGTGAGGGTCAACCTTCTGCTACCAGCTAACTCTTGGCTCTCATTTTCCCCTCTGCAGGGCCCAGGGTTGGCTAAGCTTCACCCTTGGGTGCAGGTCCCAAGCAGAACCTGAGGCAAGGAGGCAGCACAGAGCTGAGGCATAGCTCAGTATTTCCACCACAGCTGCAACCACGCTGGCCTGTGATGGTAGCTCAAGCAGGCTGCTAGCACTGCCAGCAAAGCTGGCATTAGGGGGAGAAGCACTGTCACCACCAAATCACAGGCGCTTGCCTGGCAGGCCATTCATCCTTTCCAGTGTACATTCCCCATTTAGATGTATCACGCAGTCTTTTTACTGTTAACAAGACAACACTGGAAATACATTGCTGGCCATTGTAGAACAAGAAGGCTCCTTGATGAAAGCGTAAATTCTGCACTGTGTGTTTTCTCCCCCTTGCTCACTCACAGTCTCTTTTCTTCCATGCCTTGAAATAACTTTGTGACATTTTCAGACATTTACAAACTGCCAGGGAATGAATAAAAATGACCAGAAGTCCCTCTCTCTTTCCAGCTTTCTGCATATAGCAAGTGAAAGAGACTTTTCCCCCTTTCCAAAGCCCCTCCTGGGCTAAGTGGGTGCTGTGAATGCATGGCACGTGCAAAGACCTGACAAAGCCACTGCTCTGCTTTAATTCAAGATGGATTTTTCATTCTCTGGGCTGCATAGAATCCATGTACAGTGTGACCTATCCTGGCCTGCAAAGACAGGATCAGCTTTTTTCACTCAGGTTTCATGGCAGTGGCACTTGTCTGCTTATATTTCACTGGCGATGAGTTTTGCTTTCAGGGAGCTTTTGCCATCCCAGCTGCCTTAGGTGAGGTGCTGCATGTCTGCCCAGGACTCCTAGATGATGTATGGAAGGGAGCAGGTCCACTGACACAGTCCTTCGAGCATCCCTGGGGGATGTCTGCGGACACCCCTGGGCTCCTGCAGCTAGCTCATGGTGGGGAAGTGTTTTCTCCCATGTGGCATGTGCGTGGCTCAAAGGCTGCTGCTGCCTTCTGACAGCAGGTATCAGGACTGGCTCCTCACGCTCTCGGCTCCTTCAGCGCCTGTTCCTCCAGGAGGATCCAGCCAGAGCTAATAGTGTGCTGCCTCACACTCAGAGGCCAGGCAATGTGCAGACGTGACCTGGAGCACGGGGTCATGTTCATCCATGGGGGCCTCTGCTCGGAGGCTAAATGTCAACTGAAGCGATCGCTGCGGGTTCCATTGTGGTTAAATACACTGTATAAATAGAAACCTTTTGTTTGTGAGCACAGGTATGAGCAGCTGAACAATGTGCCAAAGAAGTTGAATTTAAGCGTAATTGAGAGCAGAAAAACTCTTGGCTTTCTCAGCAAAGTAACAGACAGAAGAGACTGAATCTTATGTCTGTCTTTATGTGAAGGCAGCATCCTCGGGAATGAAGACAGCCAGGTTTAGCTCTCATTAACTGTTCAATTCTTAACTATATGCACAGCTCAACTCGAACGGACAGCTCACACTGCAGGAGTTCGGGAGCCTCTGGCGAAGTCTCACTAAGTACATGGTACACGGGGGCTGCTCTCTTCTCTGCTTATACTTTACTCTTGGGCTTTTCATCAGCGGGGTTGCAGGTGCTCTGTGATATCAAAGCACTGGGGGGAAAACATTGCAAAGGTTGCTTGCTTAGTGGGTCAGATTTCCATCCTCTCATGCAAACGTTGAGAGCTCAGGAAGTCATGGTGTGTGTAAAGTGCTCCAAACGAGCAGCCGAGGCTTTCTGAGCACAGGAAATATTGAGGGAAAAGTGGGAAAAGGTAGGAAGGCCAATTAGGCTCAGAATTCAATGGAAATCTCTGTTTGTGTGCTACCACTGGCAATTTTTTTAAAAGCTTTCTAAGCTGAAATGAGTTCTTGAACAGTCATCTGAAAAATATCACTTCCTCATTGCTGCAGTTTGTAGTGGAAATGTGTAGGATCCGATGAAAGCTTAACTGGGAGAAATGTCTGTGCTCCAGGATAAGCATTAGGTCTGGAAGCAGTGAGGACAGTAGCGTGGTATTTAGGGTCCCACCTAAATTCAGAGCCAGAGCATGCATGGCAGCTTCTCTGTGTCAGGTCCTTCTCCCTAAGTCTTGGTGCAGGACAGGAAGGTTTCCTGAAGCCTCAGGGTTGGGTGGGCTCTACTGTGTTTCATCCCTCTTGAGATGGTCTGAGGACATGGGCTGCTAGTTCCCCATCTAGCAACAGGGCTCTTCCTACTGACAGCACCTCAAATGTGGCTGGTGGGGTTTCAACCGTGCGTTGGGAAAGATGACCCCACACCATTCTGGGACTCAGGGACTCCTGGCTTATTTCACACGTTATAGACAATATTTTTTTGTCAGCGGAGGTGTGAATAGTCCCATTGCTGCCTGCACACATAAACCAGGGAGACTGAGCAAAAAGGCTGCCATCCACCCAAAACTGTGGGATTTCTTACACAGTAACATACTGTCTGAGCCTTCTGGAAACAGGTCTCCCTTGTCACGGTCACCCCATCTCATCTGTTGAACTTCCTTGCAGCCTATTTATTAAGGAGGGAAAGCATCCTACATAATTAGATGTAGTAGTAAATTTGGCGAATGCTGATATGGGCTTGAAATCTGCCTTTAAACTGTTTTTTAGGATATCTTCAGCAAGGAAGACAGAAATCATTCTGGATTTCTTGATGTGTCTGAACTGAAAAGCGCAATAGAGAGAGCAGGTACGTCCATAGGTGCTGAGCAGCTCCCTTTCTTGTCCCTGTGGCAGTGAAGGAAAGGGTGAATAAGAGGAAAATAAAAAGACCTTCAGGGACAAAGTGGTTTGGACTGCACAGAGGTGCCGGTTAGATCACAGCTCTGCTCAGAGTTCTGCATTGTTTTAGGGCATTGAGACAGAAAGCTCGTTTCAGGGAGAAACACTTGCATGCAGCTGGGGAGCCAGCAGAGAGATGCAGAGAAGCACAGCAGTGGCCAGAGCCTGCAGACTGGCTTATCCATAGTTTCTCTAGGTCATGGAAAAAACGTCCAGCAGAGGAAAGGAGCAAGGAACAGTCGATGCTTGCGCTTGCCCCAATTCCTGCAGTTTGTCTCCAGGGCAGTGACTAAGTCTGTAAGTGAAAGGCTCAGTGACAGACATTTATTTAGTTTGCACTGACCTCTGTTGGCTACACGAATACTGAAACTTGCAGTGAGTGCATGGGACCCCTTCATGTGAGTGAAGTATTTTAGCTGGGTCAGCTCTCTAGAGACTTTGTGCATGAAATACAGCTCTGAGGCAGCAATCCTCTTATCATCGTACAGTAAAGAAGCTCCCATTTGGCTACCTGGAGCTTGGAGGGGTGTTGTCCCCAGGAGGAACCTGATGCAGAATTGCTATCCGTGGAAGCCATCAGCTCAGGGGATGTACGTGTAATTTTTTTGTTGCTGAGAGGTGGGCAGAGCATTAGCATCTGCCTGAGGAACACAGTGCTAATGTGCCAAATGTCAAAGGAGAAGCTGCCAGGTCCATTCTGCAAGAAAGGTGCTAAAGTGTAAAACCGGGAGGAAAATTTTACATTGAGAATTCCTGGCAGCCAAAACAGTGCAGCTATTTGAAGGGAGAAAAAAGCACTGTTACATGGGAAATTCAGTACTTGTTGGGCTATAAGCAGTTCTGAGCGGGGGGAGAAAAGAAAATTTTAAGCTCATTTTTGCCACCTTCTGAGCCAGACAGCTGCATTTGAATCTGGCTTTGCATTAGGATGATCCCCGTCGTGGCTTTTAGGCAAGAAGGAGCGGACAGCCCCAGAAAGCGTTCGGGAGGTTGGTGCTACCTCTGGGAATGGCACTAATGTATCTAAATACAACTCCTAGCTGGTTGTTCCCTGAAGCGTTCAGTGCTTTCCCCAGCAAAACACTGAAGTGTGTGCTTAATTTTCACTGTTGTCCTAATGCTTCAAAGCATAATAATCATGGGTCACATTTTCTGCCAAAGCAGGCTAGCTGCATTAACAGCAGTGCCGCCCTGAGATGCAGGAGCATTGGCCTGCATTTACAAACTCCGCACTGGCCATATTAAGTGCATCAAAATAATTAAAAAAAATAGGAAAACATAAAGTCTGTATTTTAAAGCTTGACTAAAACCAGAGCGAGGAATCCAGCAGACAAAAGGTGTGGGGAGTAACCTTACAAATAAGCAACAGCACATAACTGAAACGCTGTGGGAGCAGAGAAGGCTGACACTTCAGTCTTGTTGATGAGGTTAGTTGAGAGACATTGCCAGGTGAGCAGATTTCAGAGCAAGTATGTCCCAGACTGACCATGCAAATTGTCGGTGGTTTACTAGTGTAAGACATGATTATAGCATATCGTAAGCAGCACTGCAATGCTTGCTGGAATCTGCTCTCCAGAGAGCTTGATTGAATTCCCACTGCCTTCAGAAGGTTAAAAATGAGATAGAATTCATTGCTTACTACTACAGTGGTTCTTGGCAGTGGTTTAAAACCAGAATTAAAGAAGAAATTTCATTAATTAGATTTTTTTAATTACTAGTTGTCCTCCTAGGAAAAAAAGTTTAAATCAGGTTTATCTTAATTTCAAATGTATCTTAAGCCCAAATGTATTTCCAGTATTTAAATAGTCAGCATTGTGTGTCTGCTTCCTGCTGGAGACCTTCTCCAGCTAGGCTCATGCAACCAGAGTTTGTTGACGTACTAACCCACCTCCATTGGCTGTATCTCCCCCTGCACAGGTGTAGAGAAACCATTTCTTGTTCAACTAATTTAGCTCCGTGATGAGTTCATCTAAAACTGAAAAGTTTAGAGCTGCTTGAAAAAGCAGGAAAGTTGCTTCTCTTCCAGCTGAGCCACTAAAAACTCGGGGTGAGCAAATGGGACTTCTCTGAAGCCTCAGAGAGTGCCTTAAACCAAAGCTATCAGTCCAGCTCCATGCAGAAAATTTCTCTTTTGTTTAGCAAATCAGCTTTTAGTGCAAAACATATATAAATCATTCCTTTTATATAGCTAGCACATTTAGGATAGTTTTATTTAACTAATAAAAGAATAATTCTAAAATGCAATTTTTGTTCATTCAATTGACTACCAATTTCCACCTGAACAGGCTGTGACACAAATACTGAATAATCAGCTAATAAAAAAGAAATGCACCCTTCACCATTTCCTAATAGAAGAGAAAATGTAAAAATTAAGAATCCCAGGCATGCTATACTGCATAATAGCGTGAGTGTGTGGTCTCTCCCTGTTTAGCAGAAAGCACCAGTGGTACTATAAATGCTACGTTCAGGCTTTAACAGTTATGAGCCAAAGAAAATCACCCTTTCTTATAGAAAATAAAAGCTAAAAAGGGAAAGCAAGACAACACTAAATTAGTTAGCTCAGTGTTTCCTGCTTGCTGACCCAAGCCACAATTTGAGTAAGTCATTTTCCGTCACCCTACCCCAACTCTTATGCACAAACCCGGGGAAAGGCAAGCTGCTGGCATGACAAGGTGGGGGGGCTGAGGGAGGGCCCCAGCTTCTTTGCAGGGTGCACAAGGCCATCGGAGCCAGTCCATCATCCCGTAGTGCCTCCTCAGTGATGTCGTTCCTCTTCCCTCCGCAGGTCTGGCCGCTAACGAGCAGCTCCTGCGCCTGATGACCTTGCGGTATGGCGATGCTGCCAGGAGAATCGGCTTCTCTGACTTTGTGTATTGCATGCTGCGCCTTGAAACCGTGACCCGTGAGTCTCAGCGCCAGGGCCTGGGGACGTGGCAGCAGGGGAGCTTGCAAAGTCAGACTGGGGGCAGCGGCAGGAGGCAAGGGACGCGATGCTTGACTCGATGATACATGTCTAACAGCATAGCTTGGCTATAACAAACCTGCCCAAAGTCCAGGCATGGTCCAGGCGTCCCTTTGAGCAGCCTGTTTGCCAGAAGCCAGATTTGTCTCCTGCCCATAGGAGCAGTTTAGTGCTGAGAGAAAGCAGCAGCTGGGAATACAGTGATGCCCTTGCTGAAAGGGGCCAGAAGAAAGGTTGGCTCGCAGTTCCCATCAGAGCTCATCAGAGTGCCTCTGGGCTGCAGCGTTACCACGCTGCCCTGTGTTTTTCCCTGCTGAGGAGCGATGGTAATGTGTATCTAGAGCTTCTTCAGCTGCCAGTCCTTTTTTGCTGCATGAATTTAGCCTGGCCTCTGCCAGCTTGTCCTTAGAGCCCCTACGCACTAAGACTCATTTTCTAGAAACAAGACGTGTCCTTGTGCTGGTGCCTTTCCACACAAGCTTGAGCATCCTGGTCCCCAGCAGAGCTTCCTCCAGGGTGGTGCGGAGCATTGCTGGTACCACTGAGGGGAGACTGCATGCGTTCCTACCCAGTAAAGAGGAAAGAGGTAACACATCTCCAGTGGAAGGCTTTCTCTTTTGGTTAAAAGTCAGAGAAGTCTGAATCACAGTAAGGGAGGTGCCTTTTTTTTTTTTTTTAAACAGAGAGATGTTTTTCCCACCAACTTCAGTAAAGTTCTCTCTGTTTTTTGGTAAGGAGAAGAGCTGAGATCCTTCCCAGTGGATAAACAAACCCATGCCCTGCGTTACGTCCAGCTATTGTCTGGCAATTGCAAGGAGGGAGTGTCTGTAAATAAGCCTTTGCCTGAAAGTAAATGGAATTCGGTTTTACAAAAGCGTAATTTTTACTACTCTAATAATAAGCATTTTGACTGGAAGTACTGGTAGTTAAACAAGCCCAGCAATTGTGACCCATGTGCTAGAACACGGCTACAGCAATTTAGTTAATCTTTGGAATGAGCTGGGTTTTAATGGCACGTGGAAATGAGAGTTCATTTTTTTCCTGTGTGTTTCTACCACTGATGTTTTATGGGCCAGTAGTGGTCAGCGGATCTGCCTGGATGACACTGCCTAAAATCCCATTTCAAGGGAGTACAGCAGAAGCAGCTCAGAAAGACAGAGCATGTCCTGATTTTAATGCTTTCATCAAAAAATAGATAACTTGTAAACACCCATTTTTTGTGATTATACATGTCACTTGCTGTAGATGAAAATTCTTATGCCTAAATTAGTACCATGGCATTTTTTTTTCATCTTAAAAGAGATCCTTTTACATTTTAAGTGCCAGTGTAAAGACAACTCCTTTGCATCCATGTGGAAAGGAATCTCTAAAAGTTTCATTGCTGTCTGTAGTGAGTATCTTGAAGCGCTCTCAACTCTTTCAGTTATCACTTTGCAGAGGGTTTAATGTGGAATACATTTCTCAAACTTTTCAAATCATTGCGAATAAGATTGTTACAGGAGAGGATAAGGGTGCCAAGTGGGAATAAAAGCCAGTCCACCTTTATGGTGATGTGAATGCAGCAGGGAAGATAAAATCTGTCCCATTAAATCATTACTCATCTTTTCAAGATAGCCAGAGATGAGACCCAAACCAAAAGCAGCAGCTTCTTTGCAAACTCTATTTAACTGGAGTTAATGAAGCAGTAAAGAGGCACTTACCTCTGCCCAGAGGAGGTAACTTCAGTGCTGCCATTTGTTCCTGAAAAGATTGCTGGGCGCAAGCCCAGCCCTGCAAATACAACCTTGTCAAGGGGCTGCTCGCAACATGGGGACTTCCTTGGTCTACGCGTTCTTCAGAGCGGTATAGGCTGGATGTACTTCACCATGTTAGCTTTCCTCTCTTTTTTCTCTCTGCTCTGGATCATATAGGTAGCTCTGGTTGCCTCCTAAGGGGCAGATGAGCAATGTGCGCTTGTGCCCTGTTCCTGCACTCTCCCAACAGCCTTGCACTTTTGTCTAAAGCCAGGCAGGTTTCAAAACATTCATGATCTTACAATGCCTGTTCCATTCAGGGTGGGAAACAGGCTCCTGGAGAAATGTGTCATTCAAGGATAGACAGACTTAAATCTGTTTCAACTTTTTATTACTGTTTATAACAGCACATTTCTAGGAGAAAAGTAATTTCAAAATGAATATAAAGAGCTCAAAATACTGTGTTTTGACTTTATCGAAACACTTGGGTTTGAACCTTTCTCCTAGACAAACTGCAATATAAATGTGCACATAGAATATCAATATTTGAATGGATTTAAATTTTCTGATAGCAAAGTGTTCTGTCAGAAAACTTTCAGCAATGTTAATTTCAAACTCTAGCTGAATAACAGCAGCATCTGCATTTATATTCCCTGGAAAAAGCTTGCAAGGCATACTAATGACTTCAAGAGAATCACTTTCTTCAGGGAACACTGTGATCACTCACTGCCAGGGAGGATGGAAAAGGACCAACAGAAAGTTTCCCTGTGGGAAGATGTGTTTCATTAGTTCACCGTTCTCCTGTCAGTCTTCAGGCGGGAGGTACAACTGAAACAAATGATGAGAGGAGACGAAAGCAGTCACGCTGAGCACTCCCTGTCCCTACGCTTTTGCCAAATTCTGGCCCTGCAAATGGGACGCCTTCCCAGGCTGTGACCCAGGGGCCAGGGCAGAGGGGGGTACCCAGCACCGAAATGAGATGTGGCTGGGCAGGACAGTGCGGGTGGACACCTGAGCCAGGCAGAGCATCCCAGCACACGGATTGCAGCTCTGCTCCTCAGCTGCCCTGTGTCTGCGTTGCATTCTTGCTTCCTCCTCATGAAATAAGATTTTCTTTGTTCTACCCCTAGATGCGTTTCAAAACTTAGCAGAGGGCGGATCACAAATTTTGATGACGGCAATGGAGGTAAGAATGCTCCTTCCTTCTCTTCTCTCCAGGTCCAAAGTGGGACCACTGAGTAAGTTAGCAGGAGGGTGAAGTTAAAGATGATGTGTGGTGTTTGTTGCTAGGGGTTTTGCCTCTGACACCAACAGTGGTGAGGGTTTTGCCTGGCTGGGTGTGCGTAATGGGTGGGAGGTATTTCCCTGGGGTTCCCTGGCTCCAGTCACGCAGCCTCGCTAGGGTGAGCACAGCTCAGTGGTGGCCATCCATGTCCAAAGCACGGTCTTCCCTTATTGATGCCAGCCTGTCATTGCTGGAAACATTGCTCAAAGTGACTCTGAGGAAGTAACAACAACAAAAAATTCCACGCCCTCATTTCTTACTGCCCCATCTGTTAATTCTGAATTGCAAAACATCTTGGTTTTAAGAAAGAAATAGCAGACAAATGTTTGCTGCTGCTGTTTGTCTTAAAAGCACAGCCTGAAGGATAGCTAGCTGAATGGGAATACATCAAGCTTTTTATCAGCTAGTCTGAAGCAAAAATCCTACTGTGCGCCATAGTGATATGCCTGAGTGCTGCATTTTATCAGTCTGGGGACTGTTATTTGACAACACAGTGTTTAAAAAGATTTTTTTAAAAAACCTTTTACAATCTTGCTGGCTCCTGTTTACACTCTGTGGTTAGTTCAGTGGCTCATAGTTCATTAAATCTGCTTTGCACCAAAAGCTGAGAAGAGCTTCCAAGCAGAGGCCCTGAACCTGTCTTACGGGGTAGTCTGTAGGATAATCACATTCCCAGAGCCTGCTATCCCTTCCACTTGTGATCACGCAGGTGCCATCCTTTCCCAGCAACTGGTCCTGCTGCAGCTGCTGCAATAATTTATCATGGAAAGCAACATATGGAAAGTGTTTCTGGGTCTGAATTGCAATAAAAGAAAAAGGTAGTTCCAAAACCCCTTAACTACCCTGTGCAGGACAAAAGGACCATAGTCTTGGGTCACGGCCTGAAGGTACTGAGACACATGTCTGAAGACTTAGTGTAACATCACTATCTAAAAGCACCTTTTCTTCTTTTTTCCAGTGGCTGACTCTTGTCATGTACACTTAAACAGATGTCAGAGCAAAATGTGGCTGGTAAGAAATCTGCTTAGTACTATAAATACTGAGAAGAAAGGTGTGGGTGCCCTTACAGCAGTCACAGTGAATAGGAGTGGGGAACTTACAGAAAGCTCACTCTGGGGTTATGGTGGGTTTCAAGAGAAAGAGAAAGGTGAGAGCTGCAGCATGAGTGGGGCTGGAGAGGGGCTGCAAAGGGAATTGGACTTTGGGCTATTTTTTCTGGGGACTTGCTGATGGCCTTATCAGTTTCTCAGGCCACCAAAGGCTCAGTCAGCCACTTGCCTTCTGTTCCCACCTGAGGTAATAAATTTTCAATAGATCAACTAGCAGAACTTGTCTTTTTCATCTTCTGAGGGTTGCAATTACTCTTGCACATCTTACATAGCTGCAGCAGATGTAAAGCCAAGTAGAGGGTGGGCATATGAGGTCACTTAGATTTCTTGGTCAGTTTGATTTCACATTTTTAACTAATTACGTGATTTAGTTTACTTTTGAAAAACAGTCCCTACCTTGTGCTTCATTTGATGTTTGCTCCCTCCATGTCAGGCCTGGAGAGGGGCTTTTTTGCCTTGAAGTTTACCTGGACTTTCTAATTTTGCTACTTGGTTCTCATGAAGGACTCTGCCTTTTCCTACAAAACTTGTCCTGTTTATACATCCATAAACCATCTCAGCCATCATGCTTCTACTAACCCACTGGGACGCAGCTGTTCCCAGCTGCCATGGTAAAGCATTAGTGCTGGTCCCAGACATTTGGCACTGAGGAGAAAACAGGGAGGAAGCCCAATCCCTAGAGAAAACATGCAGTGGAGAGCCAGCAGCCTCCTGCCATTGTGTTGCAGCTGACCCCAGGAACTGACGGAGCACCCCTGGGCAAAATCACACACTTTCCTTATCAACCCAGTTAAAAAATGGAGTGAAAAAACAAAAAAAACTCCAGGACCTTCATTGAAATCTAGGGGACTGCATCCAGATGAGCCTTCCTATAGAGAGGAATTACAATAAAACACAATGCATGAAGAGCATCTCTGGTATCTCACATCCTGTTTCTGAAGACAGTTGACATTGGATGCCAGCTTTGGTGAGAAGTTGAAAGGGGAAATATATAAGCAGGGTGTAAATTATACTCCCCCAGGGAGAAAGAATGGTAGCTTCAGACCCAAGGCAGGGACAGCTCTGTGTCTTTCACCCTTGGCTCTAGGACAGCATTCATCCCCAGCTGCTCCTTGGTCTTGGCTCCTAATTGCATCCAGTGTGTCCATGTGCTGCAGGAGCTTGGCTTCACCACTCAACACCGTGATGCCTTCACCTCTCTGAGCTCTGTTTGAACACAGTTATTTGTTTGAAAGTCTGTCCTTTGTATTCAGAGAGCTTTGGACAGTGCACCTTCCCTTTGTCACAGCAAAGCTGTATTTTGATGTGTTGATGTGTAGAAACAGATTATTCACAGCTCAGCACCCACCCCTTGCACTGTGGACTATCATTAGGTAAATATGAGACTAGAGGGACCTCACTTTAGGAGATGAAGTTGTTTAAATTGTTGCTTGCAAATGATATTCATGGTCTATTTAGTCTTCTTTTTTCCTTTCATGAATCATTCATAAACTGGTCATAACTTCTGCAAATATATAACTAATCATAATTTTCACTTACCGGTTTTGAATGAAATTCTGCCTGTCGGGTGTTGGTAAGCAGTTCACTTGAGCAATTTAGCAGCCACTTAGGGCCGGAGACTGGGCAGTCATAGCACAGGCCCCTCTGAGGACTGAAACTCTTTAAACTAGTGTCTAACAAACTATGAGTGATGTGGGAAAATACACTTGGTGTTTGTTGAAAAAAATCAGTTGGAAAAAATATTCTCATTAGGGATTTCTAAAGACTGACCTCCAGCTGTCTGCGTTTTGAGGGAGTCTCTTTACCTCTGTTTTAGGTGGCTTTCTGCTGGCAGTAGGACACAGCCCAAGGCCATCCCCTACAAGAGCCATCCATGGGGTTCTTGAAAAACCACTGTGAAGGAGAGAAACCAGGTTTCCTGTGGACATTTGCTTACACTTGATGGTACTCAGGTGTCAGGATGAAGAGTCCTTTTAAGGCAAACTGGAGTTGCTTTGGAGAGAGAAGAGGAGATAATGAGAGTGATCCATGGGCAAGCTGGTAGTACTTAATGGTCTGGGCAAGCTGGAAGTGCTGACTATTATCTCCTCCCATCTCCCTGTAAATAGTATGGCTGGTTCTCCTGGTTAATGCACAGAAGTCAGGAACAGCTCCATTAACTCCATTGCAAATAAGAATAGAATCAGGCCTTTTGTGTGGAAGCAGTGTTTATCACGTAGGTAACAAAACCAATTAAGACATAGTTTTATTTGAATTATTTCTTAATTTGCTTGTGTACCTTTCTAAATGCCAGAAGAAGGTTGAAGAAATTAGTCATAATTCATAAATAACACCAGAAGCTTTGTGATTATTTTTTTTTACTTTTTATTAATAAATAAATAAATAAAAAAGAAAAAAATCTAGTGCATATTTGAGTTGGTCAACATGTTAGACATATTAGAAATATAGAACAGATTCTTCAGTGTTCTTTTCTGATTTCCAGCATCTGTATCAGGACTGTCTGGGAAGAGACAAGTTTATCTGAACTGCATTCTCTTTCTCTGTCCTGATGTCTTTAAAAATATAAGGCTTCTTCAGATACAATTCCTGCTCAAAGGTTTAACTTAAATCTGCTAAATAACTGTAACCTTTCTGTAGCCCACACACAAACTCCGCTTTCATACTTTTTTATCATGGTGATAACAGCAAATCTAGTGATCTATTCTACTCAATTATTAAAAGGAAAAAAAAAAAAAGACAACTCTGAAGAGTCTGTTTGTGAAAATGCCAAAAAAGAAGGATGCAAATGTCAATGGATAAAAGCAATTCATGGTTGCCATGGCAATATAATTCACACCATGCCTCACCCCGACCTTCTGCACAAGTTTCCATTGAGGCATCCACACGATAGCAACAGATTTACTCATTTGGCAGTGAGACGTTACACACTGGAGCAACAACTACATCACAAGGTAAAGAAAGGACCCGTGTCTGTTATCAGGAGGTTGGTCTGTGGCAGCGTCTCGTTCTGCAGCTTGGAGAGCATTACTGAGGTAGGTCTTACGCAAGTGGGGCCACTGAACTGACCCTTTCGCTGAAAATGAGGGGAAAGGGAAATCAGTAAAATTAGACTATTCTAATATTTTTCAGTCATTTTTAAACAAACCCAGTCCTTCTCCAAAGAGTGACTTACACATCCCACCTGAAATCATTAATCATTAATTAAGCTCTCTGAAAATGTTGGCAAAGAGAGAAGATAAATTTAAAAAGTGGCCATGAAAAAATAAATATGCATTGCTAAAAAGGCATATTAGTAGACCCATTTCAGAGAAGTATGCTTGTTTAGTTTAGCCTGGGAATTCAAAAAGGGTAAGTAGAACTCTGGAAGTGCTTCTGTATGATGTCCACCACACAGTTCAGGGATGCTCAAGCTGGCTAGGACCTACCGGGAACAAGGTTTTTGTAGCTACGCAGAAGTCATCTGTGGTAAAATTGTGAATTTCAGTTCAAGTCAACAGGTTTAAATTCATTCTTGTTGTATGAAAGCCCTATCTTATAAAAATACCAAGCTGTTAAGATCAGCGCATTACAATCAGTCTTAAAAATCTAAATTTACAGACAATGCATTACTTTTCCTTTTGTTACGATGGATAATTGCCTTTCTGCGGAAGGCAATTCTGCTTGTCGTGAGACAAAGATCCTTGTCTCTAACAGCTTAGTCTGGCCACAGACTAAAATGTTTCTTCATTAAGAAGCTAGCAGCAGACACCAGGCACCCCAGGTGAGAATCGTCACCAATACGTAAGTTGTCTC